CGCGCACGCGCACGCTCCGCGCACGCGCGCGCACACACGCACGCACACCGCCACGAACACGCACACCACGAACCGCCAACGCACACGCACACACACACGAAACGCACACGCACACACGCACACACACGCACACGCACCGCAACACGCACACGCACACGCACACGCACCACGCACACGCACACGCACACGCACACGCACACGCACACACACACACACACACACACACACACACACACACACACACGCACACACGCACACACCGCCCCAGGTGGGGGCGCCTCCCCGTCGGCGGGCGGCGAGCCCGCGGCGGGCAGCAGCAGGGAGGCGCCCCAGGGGGAGCCGGCGGCCCCGCGCAGGAGGAACTCCTCCAGGTCCACCGCGGCCCCGCCTCTGGTCGCGAGCGAAGTTCGAGGCTCGAGGCTCGAGGCTCGAGGCTCGAGGTTCGAGGCTCGAGGTTCGAGGCTCGAGGGGTTCGACGGGCGGTGGTTGCGCCTCGCCGCGGGCGTTCTGGGGGAACTGGTTCTTCATAGTGCTGCTCTCGTCGATGGGCCGCGCAGATTCGCTTCAAACGGTGCACGAGCTCCACGGGTGGAAGACGGCACCTCGTCAACACGCGGCTCTCATCTCAGCGCCGCGCGCGCACTCGTTTTCTTCTGCGAAAAATGCACCAACTTCACGGATGGAGGGCTTTCCGCTTTCAACATGAGGCTCTGGCCTGAGCGCCGCGCACGCTCGTAGTACAACTCTGCGGCAGCTTCGCGGATGGAGGCCAATACCCTTTCAACATGTGTCTCTCGCCCTAGCGCCGCGCGCATTCGTCTTACGGATGGAAGGCGGGTCCGTGTCGAAACGTGGCTCTCGCCTGAGCGCCGCGCATGTTCGTTCTAAAAGTTCGCAGCAGCTTCTCGGATGGAAGGAGATACAGCTTCAAAATGTGACTCTCGCCTAAGCGTCGCGCGCACTGGTCTGAAGAGTTAAGAGTACTTACAACGATTCTCATGGCTAGCGTCCCAGAGCTTGTTCTTTGGAGAGATGTAGGACTGTCAAGGCGCAACCAGCTACGCTGATTCGCTGCATTCAAGTCCCAGGACTGTTGCTCTGGCGCGATTCAGGATCGTCAAAACGCAACAGTAAAGTTGATTCGTGGCGTTGAGGTCCCAGGAATGGTGCTCTGGCGCTTTACTGAAACCTCGTCGATGAATTTGGGGTTTGCTCTGGCCCTCCTCCTCCTCCCCCTCCCTCTCCCTTTCTACAATTACTCCATATGAATACTACTCTCCCTCAAACCCTGATGACGGTTTGAAAATGCTTAATATTAGCCCCCCCCGCGTAATTACTACATTGTTCGCCTGCATTCGGATTGGGTTTTCGCCTGCAAGTTTCCCCAGAATTGGGTTTTCGCCTGCATTTGTTCCGAAATGCTGCTCTCGCTGAGGCGCCGGCTTCATTTTCGGGCCCCGCTCGTTCCGAATCGTGCTCCCGCTGCAGCGCTGGCATCATTTCCGCCAGCGCCCGGGCTGCACGCCCGAGCCGGCGCCCGGGCCGGCGCTCGGGCTGGGTCCGGAGCCGGTTCTGGCCGCAGCCAGAAAATCGAGTTCAGAGGCGGCGCCGAAAAAAAACAAGGGGCACGCGTGCCAAGGATCATACAATGACGATGTGGGTCCATGGGAGATGGAGAAAACCAGGGATCGCGAGGGAGGCAGTCCTTGGCAGGCGCCGGGAAGCGCGCCGCAATTGCTGCGACACGTTGGCAAGGGACAGATTCGAAGACGGGAAGGGGCGGCTAGAAGCATGTCAGTTTGGGTATGGAGGAAGGTCGCTTGTCCTCTGTCTCGTCCTCCTTCTCCCCCTCCTCACCTCCACTTTCTCCTGTCCCGCCTCTCTTCCTCCTCCTGGTTCTCGACCTCCTCCTTGTCCTCCCCCTCTCTCCACCTTCTGGGGCGGTGCGGCGCGTGGCGGCGGAGTCGCCCTCGCCGTCGGCATGCGGCCGGGCACGCTGCGTCCTCGTCCTCCTCCTTCTCGTCCTCCTCCTCCCCCTCCACCTCCGCCTCCTCCCCCTCCCCCTCCGCTTCCTCCTCCGCCTCACCGTCCTCGCCTCCGACCCGAGGCTGGCCCAGGCAACTCATCCTCGCCTCGGGCCCGAGGCTCGCTCACCGAGCGGCGGGCGGCGGCGAGCTTCCCGGCCGCCTGGCCTGTCCGCCGGGGTCGCCTCGGAAGGGTCCCAGAGGCCCAAGACGGTCCAAGAGGCTCCAAAGAGGCCTCCAAGACAGCCCAAGAGGCCTTCAAGAGGTCGTCTAGGAGGGCCCGAAGAGGCCAAAATCATTGATTTTCTTTGGGTTTGGGAAGGATTTGGTCATTTGCGCCTTTTCGGCTTTCCGACGGTCCAAGACGGCCCAAGAGGCCCCCAAGATCGCCCCAAAATTGCCCAAGAGGCCCCCAAGATGGCCCCATGACGGCCCAAGAGGCCTCCAAGACGGTCCCAAGAGGGCCTCAACACGGGCCAAGAGGCCTCCAAGATGGCTAAGATTGCCTCCGAAACGGCCAAGATGGCCTCCAAGTACCTCCAAGATGGCTTCCAAGACGGCCAACATGGCACCAAAATGCCTCCAAGACGGCCCGAAATGCACCCAAGACGGCCCTGGATGGGCCCAAACGGCTCCCACGAGGCGTCCAAGATGGCCCAACAGGCCTCCAAGAGGTCCTCCATGAAGGCCCGAAAGGGCAATATTTATGTATGTTCTTTAAGTTTTTGAACGATTCGTGCATTCGCGCCTTTTCGGCTTTCCGACGGTCCAAGACGGCCCAAGAGGTCCCCAAGGTCGCCCCAAGATCGTCAAGAGGCCTCTAAGATGGCCCCATGACGGCCCAAGAAGCCCCCAAGACGGCCCCAAGAGGGCCCCAAGACGGCCCAAGAGGCCTCCAAAACGGCCAAGATGGCCCAAGATGGCCCTCAAGATGCCTCCACGATGGCTAAGATGGCGTTCGAGACGGCTCAGATAGCCCCAGGATGCCCCCAAGACGGGCCAAGATGGCCTCAAGATGGCTTAAGACGGCCCAAAAGGCTCGCAGGATTCCTCCAAAACGGCCCGAGAGCCCTCCAAAACGTCCTCTGGGAAAGCCCGAAAGGGGCAAAATGAATGATTTTCCGTTGTGCTTCAAGGACTTGGGCATGTTGTTCTTTTCAGCTCTCAAGATAGCTCAAAACAGCCCAAGAAGCTGGCCTCGGCCTCCGGCGGCCGTTCGGGACGACACGGGCACTCTCGGAACGCCCTCGGCGAGGCGCAGCCGCTGGAAACCATGCCGGCTGAGAAAACCGCCAAGAACCAAGAAAATCTTCCGGCAACCTCGATCCTCAATCCCCCGGCTCGCCGCCACGCCAGTCGGGCGCGGCCACGCGGCGCGGCCTGACGGGGCGCGTGGCCTGGTCGCATTGCACCGCGCGCCGGTCGGCGATCGTCGTTGGCCAGAGCATCAAGATGAGTTAAGATTTCAACTTCCGCTCAAAAACGAAGCTGGACCAATCAGAACAGCCAGCCCAACAAGACCATGCAGACCAACCAAACCAACCAGAGCAGCCAGAGCAGACTAGAGCAGGCAGACCAACCAGACCAGCCAGACCAAGAAGACCAGCCAGACCTACCGGACTAGCCAGACCAACCAGACCAGGCAGACCAGACCAACTAGACAAAACCAGCCAGACCAGCCAGACCAACCAGACTAGCCAGACCGACAAGATCAGCCAGACTGACAAGTCCAGCCACAACTCATGGGACCACACGTGCCAGCCAGACCAACCAGACCAGTCAGACCAGACCAGCCAGACCAACCGGACTAGCCAGACCAACCAGACCAGCCAGACCAGACAAACCAGACAAACCAGCCAGACCAACCAGACAAACCAGACCGCCAGACAAGACCAGCCAGGCCAACCGGACAAGCCGGCGACGTTTTTCTCAGCTCAACCTGCGCTTCTTGGGATCAGGAGCGTCGTCGGCAGGGCCCTGTTCCTGAGCCCACGCCGCGGGCAGCGCCACGGCGTGGTACCACTGCTTGTGAGCCGCCGCCATGTCCGCAGAAAAACCTGGCGGATAGCGCTTTCGGCACGTCTGCCCCCAGACATAAGTCCGGGCCTCGCAGACGCCGTACTCCGTGTCGTCGAACTCCAGCTCCGAGAGGCCAGTCAGAGACAGCACGCGGGAGTGGAGCGGCATGGAACTCTGACGGCGCTGCAGGAGCCACAACAGCTTGTGGTTCAGGGAATTGATGGGCTTGGTCGTCTTCACCACCGTGCTGCCCGCCGACTCGTCCACGGCGCTGCCCGAAGAGTATGATAGGATGAGGTCGTGGGCTTCCGGCGCTAGCTTCTGGAGAAACAATGACGTGCCGTCCCCCGGCAGCTCCATGTACGGCACGGTCGAAGCGTGGTGCCCCTCGTACCGGTCCCCGTGGCGGGCGCGCAGGTACCGCTTGAGCATGACCTGGCCTTGGTAAGGGACCCAATCGCAATCCGTCTGCAAGAGCGACTTGGCACACTCAATCGTGAGCAGGGCAGAATTGTCCAATATGCGCCGGTGCTCCTGCAGGCTCACCGCAATCGCCCTCATGCGGACGGCGACGCGGTGAGGACGGGTGCCCGCGCCCTCTGGCAGGAGGGCTGCGTCGTCGTAGCCCGACAGCGCCGGGGCGTGGTAGCCCATCCTCGGCTGTCGGCCGTACAGATCAACGCATATGTTTGCAGCCTCGTGCCATTTCTGAACGTCATATGCGCTGATGTCTGGCAGTGTGGGGTAAGACCCGTCGGTTTTCAATCGCTCCCGGTGCGTCAGCAGATGCTTGCGTAATTTGTCGGTATCGCGAAGAATGGCTGCTTTCCGATACACCAGCTCTAAAACGACGTAGAACGACATCACGTAGTGGCTTTCATTGCAATACAAACAACAAAATATACAAAAATGGGCAACCGCGGTAAGAGGCACACTCGGGTGGGCAAGCAACATCTTCGTTTTGGTCGCTGAGGTGATATCACAAGAAGACTTAAAGTTGTTCAATTTGCGCACAAGTGGGTCGTGATTGACTCCTGGAGCGATCTGATCCGCAAGCTCTGCCAAACGAAAATGTTATCAACCCATTCATGATTACGTGTCTCACCAGATTGTTTGAAAGAAGCTACGGCTTTGTTAAGCGTTGCCTTGTCGTGCTTTTTCGCATGGCAACCGCGCTCGCGCAGGAAGCACACGGGAAATTTAGCCACGCCGGCAACGTGCATGAAAGTGAGAACATTCCGAAAAGCCACGAGCAGATGCCACATCTTCAGGACGCGCGCGTCGCATTTCACGCCGCCAATGCCTTCCGTGCTTGCCCGATGTATCGATTGTCGCTCAGCGTCTTCCAGCATCGCGATTTCCGCGAGCTGATCGACCAACAAAACCTGACCCAAGTATGACATACGGCATAACGCTCACACGTTTGTCTGCCGAATGGGAAACGTCGCGGGAAAAATGCACGCATATAGAAGGGAATGGGGAGAGGAGAAGGGAGTGGAGTCTGAGTGGGGAAGCGTAGAAACAGGGAGACACGGCGAGACATGACGTCGGGCTGGCCGTCTGGACGGCGGTCAACACTGTGCGACGGCAATGCCCCCGCCCGCGGCCGCGGCAACGCGCGGACAGTGGTAAAACGCAGCGCTGTCGCGCAAAACCGTGCTTGAAAAAAAACACCGGTTTAGCTGTTTTTTTTTCCGGCGGGGCTTTGTCGATTCTTCCTATGTTTTTCCAAATGAAACGAGGCTGGACGCCTGCGGACAAATGCGTTGCCGTCGCAGATTCCGGCGCCCATTCCCCTTCGGATAGCAGGGAAAACGATGCGGGAACTACGGGCAGAGAGAGGCGGACCTCGAAGATGTCTCAAGACAGTCTCAAGACGGCCCAAGATAGCCGAGCATGGCTCTAGACAGCCTCCGACATCCTGTAGCCGAGCGCTGTTGAACATAATCTTGTCTGCCGAACGGGAGACGTCAACGAAAAAATGCACGCATATAGAAGGGAATGGGGAGAGGGGAGAGAAGGGGAGTGGGGTCTGAATGGAAAAATAAGAAACAGGGAGACACGGCGAGACATGACGTCGGGCTGGCCGTCTGGACGGCGGCCAACACTCTGTGACGGCAGTGCCCCCGCCCGCGGCCGCGGCAACGCGCGGGCAGTGGTAAAACGCAGCGCTGTCGCGCAAAACCGTGCTTGAAAAAAAAAACACCGGTTTAGCTGTTTTTTTTTTCCGGCGGGGCTTTGTCGATTCCTCCTGTGTTTTTCCAAGTGAAACGAGGCTGGACGCCTGCGGACAAGTGCGTTGCCGTCACAGATTCCGGACCAACCAGACCAGCCAGACCAGCCAGACCAACCAGACCAGCCAGACCAACAAAACCAGCCAGACTGAGCAGCGCAGCCAAAACAGCCAGAATCAGATGTGCCAGCCAGACCAGCCAGACCAGCAACACCAGCCAGACTGACCAGTCCAGCCACAACAGCTGGGACCAGACGTGCCAGCCAGACCAACCAGACCAGCCAGATAAGAGCAGCCAGCACAGCCAAGATGGCCTCCAAGACGGCCAACATGGTACCAAAATGCCTCCAAGACGGCCCAAGATGCACCCAAGACGGCCTTAGGTGGGCCCAAACGGCTCCCACGAGGCCTCCAAGATGGCCTCTCCTTCCTTCTCCTGCTGCTGCTGCGAGGAGGCGGGGGCCTCGCTAGTAATTTACTGCGCAGTGGGGGTGGTTTTTGGCACTTGGTCTCGCCGCGGGCTGTCCCTGCCCGGGCTCTGTTGGCCCAGCGTGCTTCCAGGATTGTCCCCTTTCCCCTTTTGTCCGGGGCTGGGAAAGGGGGGGGGGAGGGGAAGGGGAGGGGGAGCGGGCGGGGATCAGGAGGGAGGAGGAGGAGGAGGGAGGAGGACGAGGGAGGAGGCAGAGCAGGGAGAAAAGGAAAGTGGGGCTTGAGTTTTGCCCGAACAGCGGCCTGGCGGGCAGGGCGCCGCGAATCCCACCAGCTCGACGCCGCGGCGTCCGAGCGGGAACGCGCTGAAAGATGCGTTTTATATCTCAAGCAATCCTCGCGGCCATGCTTGGGAAGATGCGGCGCGGACGCCGCGCTTCGATGCCGGGGCAAACGGCGTTGGGAGATGCTTTGAGATGTGGGGGGCCACGGACGACATGGAGGTTTCAATGCGTGGGTCGGCCTGGCAAGGAGGAAGGAGACCAGGATCTGGGTGGCGAGGGGGGGGGCAGTTGCGGGTGCCAGATGTATTTGATGAGATGGCCGTCTCCCAATGGAAATCTGTGGTGTGGGGTGGGGGGGTAGCAGGCGGGCTCAGACGGCCAGCGAGCTGGGACCGGACTTTGGGGGGGAAATTCAAGTTTTCGGATCAAAACATTGCGCCGCGGGGCGGGCGCAGGACGGGGGCCACTGGTCCGGCGGTAGACAGATGACGGGGCCTCATGGGGCAGCATGGAAGCTCGGCATCGAATCCGAGGGGTCGGGGGCCTCGACGCCACGCGCGCGCGCAGGAAAGCTGCGCTGGAGGTCGCCTCCTCCGCGGGCGCGGCCGGGTCGCCGAACGCCTCGTGGATGCGCTTGACCGCGGGCCCGAGGAACTCGTCGAAGTTGTCCTCGGCCTTGGGGTCGGCCTTGCGCTTGGCGCGCGTGAGGCGACTGGTCAGAGTCTCACCTGCAGCAGCAATTTCGGCCCTGAACGCGTCGGGCGTGATGCTGGGCGGCAACTTCCACATGTCGCTCACGGTAAACTCGGACGTCGCGGCGTCGAAGTGGGTGACCACGATGAGCGCCTGGTCTTTCTTCGTGAGCGCGTAGCGGCCCAAGCGTTTCGTCGCGCAGGCAGTCACGGCGTGGAAGACGGCTTTCTGGTCGGAGTCGCTCTCCGCCGCGTCCACGATGTAGTTGGTGATCGCGAAGCCGCCCTCGCGCGGCACGGTCTCGGGGTCTTTCGTGGCCTCTACCAGGAGGAGCGCGCCGCTCGCGAGGAAGCGCGCGGAGCCGATGGTGATGGTCAGCTTCCCGGTGGTGCTCAAGGAAATGCTGCGGGCGTTCGTGGGAACGACGCGGCTGTCGCTGTGCGGGGCGGGCAGCGGGACGACGGCGTCGAAGTTCCGGGGGTCCGCGCGCACGATGATCAGGCGGGGGCCCGTGCTCGTCTTGTCGCCATCAACGCTCTTCGGGGCGCGCGGCGTGGCCCGAACGCGCGCCCGGGTCCACGTCACGGACCCCTGTTCAACGTCGGCCTGGAATTCCGCCTTGTCCGTGCAGCCAGTCAGCGCGAGGGCGACCTTCTCCGCCACCTTGGCCTCCACGGACCCAGTGTGGTCGACCATGCGCACGGATGCCCAGACGCGGGTCCCATCTTTTTTCAAGAGCGTCTCCGTGTCGCTGAGGGAGAATGACGCTGCCGGGATCTCGAACAGGGTGTCCGGGGGCGTCGTCTTGCTCTGGAGGAGCGCGTCCAGGACGGCCGCGTTGGAGCTGGTGGCGGGCCCGACCTTGGGGGGCGCATCGGGGGGGGGGGGTGCGCTCGGCGAGGGCGTCATGTCTCAGCGAAACTTTGGGGCGGAGAACGGCTCCGGACGGGCGGCCGGCTGGGGCCAGATTTTCGTTGAGAAATTGCTGGTTTCAGGATCAAACTCTGGAAGGGGGGCACCAATGGGGTTTCGAGTTGCGGGATGGGGGTTGCCCGGGTGCTGCGCGGGGGGGCCGCGGGACAGAGCCATTGTGCAGGGGCCAGGCAGAGGATAAAGGGGGGACGGCAGGCCGCGCCTTGTAGTCCTTGGCCTCATAGACGGTCAGGCTTTGGATCTGGTCGCCGGCGAGGTCGCGAACGCCGCCGGCGAGCATGGCCGCTATCTTGGGGCGCGTGCCTGTAGGCGTGGCGAAGGACGTGGACTCCCGGACTGACAGGTACACGCCGCCACTGTCGGGGTGGACCAAGTACGCTCCGTAGATGTAGATGGGCTCTTTCTTCTGCAGCTGCTCTGCGCGGGGGGCGCTCTCCTCCCAATTTTTTTAGGTGATGCCGCTTCCGGCCTCGTTGCAGACCGCGGCCTCCGCCAAGTTCTTGCCTTTGAATTGGGCTTCGGGAGAAACATCCGAGACGAACCCGTGGAGGTCGATCGCCTGGTCCTGCGAGAGGTCGAGGACATCCTGGACTCCCACGGGGGGCTCCAGCTCGTCCGGCAGCTTGTTGGCATCCGGCGCGTCCAATGCTTTCGTGGTCATGGCCTTGTTGTTCAGCTGAAGTACGCATGAGTGCGGGCCCCCGTGGAAGGCCTCTTTCTTGCGCACAAGCTTCAGCTTGGAGAGAGACCACGCGGATTTCGCGGTCCACTTGGTCGCCAATGCTTTGCTGACTCTCGTGCGCGCCGCCGGCGAGTCCCCGAAGATCATCTGTTCGGCTGTGCAATAGAGGCCGCTCTCGCTGATCAGCTTGCAGGTGAAGACCTCGCAGTCCTGCTTGGTCTTGCGCACCATCGGGTCCAGCACTCGCACGTGTATGGTCTTGGTACCGCAGTTGCGCTCGTTCACAGTCTCGAGCTTGTCCGCCATGGCAGGCTCAATATGAGAGCGAGTGCTGGGCGAGATCGACGGTTGAGGGGCAATCAAAGCTCTCGTAAGAAGTCTGATGCTGAGGCAAGGGGAGCCGCGAAGCACCCGTTGGGCTGGTGCACTGCGCGCGAGGCCCTCAAAGAAAGGGCAGCAATATTGAAATGCGGTGGGACAGCGATGGGGCGGGGCGAGCACAGAAGCTGACTTCGGGTCCGCAAAATCAAATTTCTAAGCGAAAGTCTGGTAGGCAGGCGGCGGCCTCTGAATCACTATGGCGTCTGGTGCGCCCGGGTATCCTTGGGGCCAGGGAGCTTGCGGGGATGCTGCCACGCTAAGAGATCGAACAACAATCCGGGGCAATATTTGGCATGGGTGAGCAACGCATTCCTTATGATCAAGATGGCGAGGGACGAAATGTTGGGCACTGTTTTTCGCGCAATGCTGGGGAAGCGCGCTGACTCTGATCTGCTAAGGTAGAAGGCGTCGAATTGGCAGCACAGTTGTCGCTCGCAAGTAATGCAAGGACAATGCGGCGACACTGCTGGCGTGCGTCAAGGTGGCGGCCCTCGCGTGGAGGGCTCTTCACCGGCGTGCGGGTACTCGTACCAATTATGCCCCTCCCGCCATTGGTCGTGGACGCGGTGCCCGCGCAGGGGTGCGCGGTGGACGCTGTCGGGTAGATGGTGCGCCAGACGCCGCCGCATGGGCGAGGGAGGGTTGCCAATCTCCATCTGCATCGTACCCAGCGTTCCAAGCGTGAAGTTCTCGGGCAGGCGGCAAGTTGCGCAAATGGCGCAGTCCCCCGGCTTCCGAAGACGGTCGGTGAAGCACCCGCAGGCGAGCCTTGGCGCGTACCCTGCCGACAGCGACGTAGAAGCCTTTTCTGTCCAAATGCGGCGGCCAAGGTCGCCTGGCCACGCTGAGCACCAACTCGTCGCACGTCTTGCCCTGTGGCTTATAATCCGTGCAAGCGAACGCCAGCGTAACCGCGTGACACCGTATGCGGATGCGCTTGGGCGCGCGCTTGAGGATGCTGAACAACGAGGTGGTGTCGTAGTCCTCGACGTGGGAGGTGTATGCGATGGGAACGACCACGGACCCAGGAACGAGGGTCTCGATCCCAGCGCCGTCTTCGCCAGCGGGCAAGGAAATCTGGACGTTGATAGAGGCAGGGGGCTCCTCGAGGATAATCTCCCGGAAGCCGCCAGATGCAACAGCGTCCAAGAACACTCCCGGTGCATCGCTGTCGAAGCTGAGGGAGTGCAGGAAACCCATGGCCCCGTTGACGCAGAACTTGGTGGGCTGGATGTTGGCGAGCAGCATGGCCGGGGCCCCGCGCACGAAGCGTCCCCACATGCCTGGCTCGTTCTCGTAAAGGCCGTCTTGGACATCAGCTGGTAGCATAGAGCAGTGGCGTCCGTGTAAGGGGTATCGCCATCGGATTAAGGGTAGAGAGTGCGTCCTGGCAAGGCGCTCGGCCTGGATCCTGTTGAGAAGGTACCGCTCGAAGTTGGACAGGACGCAGATGGGAGCGAAAGACCACGCAGGATGTGTCTGGATGTCGTGGGTGGAAACCTCGCGGAGCGAGTCTGTCAACCTCGCTGGGGCCGGGGCGCCAGGGGTCGTGTCCCGGAGCTGCAGCAGATCCGTCTGGAAACCAGGGTCGTCGGCAGCTCGCATCTGCTGCGTCAGAACAGTGCGGCGAGCCCGTCGGAATATCTCGAGGCCCTTATCTGATGTGCTCATGGGGGAGTGCCGGACTGGCCTCGATAGGCCAGGCACGTCAGCGCTGGCGAGGAGTTCTGCGAGCGCCGTGGAGCTCGGAGGCGGTTTCTGCCAAAAGTCCCCTGCCAGGATGAGGGCGACGCCTCCGAAAGGGACGCCGTGGACACCGCGTAATCGTTATAGTTGAAGGTCGATGTGGTGTAAGGCTGCCGGGACGAGAAAACTGGCCTCGTCGACGACGAAGACGAGCAGGTCGGCCGGGTCGCACATGGCGTCGGCGAAGTCCTTGCGGAGGAGCTGCAACGTGTCAGCGTCCACGGGGCGGTCTTCAGCCAGGCAAGCGAAGTCAATTTTCAGTAAAGAACACAGCGTCGGCGCCCCAAAAGGCGCAGATGCGACTCCCGTCCAGGCTGTGATGGCCATGTGTCCCAAGTGCAGGCGTCGTAAGACGGCGTGCATCGCCTTCAAGAGCACGCTCTTTCCCACGCCCCCAGCTCCCTGGAGCAGATGCACTTGCCGGAGCCCCTGCTGTCGGAGAGTGGCGAGTGCGTCGTGGGGGTCGTCACCTCGTTGGCGGCCGGCAGCGAGGTGGCGCTGTAGTGCCAAATGCTGTCTTGCGAAAGCACGCTGTTGGGGGTTGAGAGGAGGCGGGGGGGGACAGCCTCCGGGTGGCGTGTTACGGACGTATGATTCCCAGTTGCGTGCGAGACGCATGAAGGTCTCGTCGTCGATAGGGTCGAACTCTGGTGGGTCGCCGTCCTCCGGGGAGGCGTCTGCGACGGGATGGTCCACGTGGCTCGGTGTGTTGGCGTCGTCGGAAGGCCTGCGTCGAGGCTGCTTGAGGTCTGCCAGGAAGGAGGCGATGTCGGTGGAGCCACTTGGGAAATGGTGGACGGGATGACCGTCCTTGGTCGGAGCCCCCCGTGGCCAGTGTGACCGAGGATCCGGCGTGGATGGTACGTCGGGTAGTGATGGTAGTCTGTCGGTAATGTCGTCCGCCCAGGTTTCCATTGCAGCAGCTCGTTTCATGGCTCTGGAGTTGACGTCGGCGCTGGCAGCGTCGCGTAAGTTGCGGATGTCTGCGGCGGCGTCGGTCTCTTGACCTTTGCTGCGGCCAGGGGGAAGGGCTACGTCTGGACAGGAGGTGGTTTCGGACCACAGAGTGCGGTCTCGCATGCGCCATTTGCTCATAATATCTGTCTTCCGGGTATTCGACGTGAGGGCTGTCGCCACATGGTGGATGCGGAACAAGCGGCCCTCCGCGATTCTCTGACTCTTCCCGTGCCGCACGGAGTCGGATGCAGGAGGCGCGGAGCCGTGAGCCGCGTCCTCCAGGCGGCGCTGATAAGCGCTCCAAGTGGTCGGGGTCGCGGTCTCCAGTTGGGCCGCGGACCAAGGTACGAAGAGCGCGGTGAAGTACTCGGCGTGGGCCACCTCCATACGCTGGCGCGCCTTGTTGCGCGGAGCGGAATCGGGGGGCAGACGGGGCGGAGGAGCTCCGACAAACACCGGCACGTCGAATTTGGATTTTTCCCTGATGACGTACTGGCCCGCCAAAGGGAGCGGCGGTTCGAGTTCGAAGCTCGGGTTCGTAGGGCGGCCCCTCTTGCCCGATTCGGCGGCTATCTTTGCCCTCTGTTCCGCGGAGACTTTCTGGATGCGCATCCCCATGACGAACTCGTCGAAAGTGAGGTCGGCGAGTTGTTGGGACCGGTGCGCGTAGTGGTCAGCCTGCGATAATGCAATCCAATCGGCGTTCCGTCTGAAGTGGTGTAGATGCTGCAGGTGCCTCGGCGTGGATGGTCGCATTCGTCTGCCGCGTCGACGTCGTCAGGGTCGCCAGTGCATGCGTCGGCATCGCGTTGGCCCAAGGGCGAATCCTCGCTGTCGGGCGGATCGGGGGCGGGCGGAGGGTTGTCGGAGGAAGAAGATGACAGCAGGCAGACCCCGGTGAGCAATAGACGTCTGAGGTGGACGGCGTCCCACACGTAGGCATTGACGCATGTGTGAGAATGTCCGCTTGACGCGACGCCGAGAGCGATCGCAGCCGCCTGTGTCGGGGCAAGCTCGGCGGCACTGGAATTGAACTCGTTGTAGGAAGTGGCGAGTGCACCGTGCTGCGGTGCCTGCGTCGTCAGCCGAGGACGGGTAGAGGTCAATGTGACGACGAGCGTCCGCCAATACGGATAACGAGGCTGCCAGATCGTAAGCCTCTTTAACGAGGTTCTTCACCATGTACATGCCGGCTCCCTTCGCAGCCTCCCGGGCACCGAGGTGCAGAGGTGCGGTGTTGCTCCGGACGCATCCCGAGAGGGTGGGGCTGAAGTCCACGAGGGCCGCATTTCGGCATCGCATGCCGTGCCAAGCGAGAAGGATGGCACGAGCGTCGTCTTGACTACATGAATTGAGGCAGTCGTTCAGGTTGCGGCCTTGAATAGGTCTGGACAAAAGGCTGCTGAGTTCGCGGCACACGTCTCGGAACATCCCGTGCGCTGCAGAGGGATCCAGTGACTCCAAATCGGCGCGGGGCATGTTCATGATGTCGCGCAACCGGCCTGAATCGGGTTCCACGTGTGGGCGAGCGTGCTCGTAGGAGAGGACGACGTTGGCAGCCCCATCACCAGGGCGAGGCCTGCGAGCCCAAAGTGCAGTCGCTGGTCGTTGTTTCGGGTCGTATCCTGGGGTGCAGTACTTGCAAGACCAGCCCACGGTGCCCTGCGCGGGTTCGTCGGGCAGGATTGCGAGGACGCGAGACTGGGGGACGGGGTGTCCAGAGGGTTTCGCCATGCGGCACCCGAGCTTGCCATTTTTGCCTTTGTGGCAGGTGGCCGCGTGTGAATGTAGTCCAGTGGTAAGAGCTGTGATGGCGGCATCTATGTGAAACTCTCGGACGGCTTCTGGGGTGGGCGTGTCGGTGGTCTGGAAGAAAGTCTGACGCTCCGCTGGTATACGCAACGTCCGGCGGGCCACGTCGATGGCGTGCAAGTCGGCTGGCACGTGGGCCGTGTACATCGAGTCCAGGGCTGCGTGCACAGCGGCCTCCAAGCGTGGGTACCCAGCCACGTCGGCCAACAATGTAGGAGAGGCCCCTGCGATGACACCGGCGTGGAAGTGGAAGGACTTGCGGCCGTTTGTTTCGGTCACGAAATGCCAGGCCCACGGGGTTCCGAAGATGCCACGGTGGGGGGTGTTGTCGTCGATGAGCTGCGACTTCCTCCGTTTGTGGCGCGGCGGCATGCCCGCGAGCTCCGTGAAGATAGCCTCCGCCATCTGTTCCCGCAGCAACGTGGTTGCCACGGGATTCAGAGTCGCCAAGCGCTGCAGGAATGCCTCGTCCATGGAGAACGTGTACGACTCGTCCGCGCAGTGCGGCGCGGACTTCTCGGAGAACGCGGAGACGCCCCCCTCGTTGCCCTGTTTGCGAAGGGCGCGCAGTAGGCCAGCTTCGTCGGCGGGCCATTGGTGCGGCTGGCCGCACCTGAAGGGGTCGTGGAAGACGACTCACACTTAGATGCATGACTCGCACCTGATGAAATGTCCAGCCCGGGGGTTGCCGGGGAATCCTGGGGGCTCCTGGGGGGTCCCGCGGACTCCTGTGGAATCCTGTGGAGGCTGCGCGCTCCTTCGGCTGAAACCGTTTCAGAAACGTGTGTTTTCCCGAGCCGGACGCCCCTGATGCGTCGAAAACCAATGGTTTTTGAAAGATTTTCTGTTCCAGCGCACGCGTTTGAAGCCAGAGACGCGCGGTTCTCAACCGCGATGACGAATAAAATGTTTAAAAGCCCTCGGGGTTTCGAGCGTCCGGGAGCGCCCGCCTGGGGAAAACACAATGTTTTTCTTTGGATTATCTTCTTACAGGAGATGCTGGGGGTCCGGGCTCTCTCGGGGGGACCAGAGAAGGCTGGTATCTGAGTTTTCTTTGAAAAATCAAATTTCGGAACCAAGCTCAGGAATCGGAGCGAGGGCTCGAGGCCCGAGGGCCCAGGCAAGAAGTCGCGGGGGGAGGGTTCCCTGAGAGGGCAGGGGGAGAGAGGTCAAGAGTGTGGTAGCTCCTTTAGGGTCTCCCGCGTGCCGATAAGACAAGCGGATAGAGGTAGGCTGGTGCACGTCGTCCGGGGCCGCGGTCAGGAAGGAGCTGAAGGGGCCGAACCTCCTCTGTAAAGCGTAGAGCTTGGTGATTTCAGAAGCTCTTTCCTCGCCGCTCCAGGGGGTGGTCTTACCAGATGACGTCGCGAACCGGAGCACTTGCTTGAGTAGCGCCCGGGCCTCTTTGCTGGTGGGATCTGCCTTCGCGCGGTCCAGTCGGTCGAGGTAGACATCTTTGTCGGCGACCATGTCTGCGAAGGCTTTGAAGCTGAAAGGGTCCGTCTTCACGCGCAGAGCGACCCCCCTGGCAGCAGCGTGGCGTTGTATTTGGTTCGCAAGCAGGAATGTGAAATTGTGGCAACGGGCGAAGCCGTTGTGGAACTGGGTGAGTATGTGTCTGGACTCGTGCATGCTCAAGGGGCCCTGGGAAACCAAGCCGGCCCGCAACGGAAAGAGGAACCAGAAGGCGCCGTACAACAAGTCGGCGTTGTTGGTGAACTCGTTCATGGGGCGCTTCAGTCGTCGGCACTTCGTGGGTGGCGGGCCACAGGCGGAGGCGTGAGAGGGTGGGGCAGCAGGGGTGGCATCCGGTTGCTCTTGGCGTTCGTCGTGGATGTCCTCGGGGTCGGCGCGGCTGGACGCTCGAAGGGTGTCTACGAGACCATCAAAGATACTGCCAGCCACGGCGTCGCTGGATTGTAAGAAGACGCCAACTGGGTCCAAGGACAGCGTGGCCTCTGCGTGAATGTCGCCCTGGGGCTCGGTAGGTTGTCCGAGGACGGCATCCTGTGGATCACGATTCCACTGAATCTGCGCGCGCACGCTTCGGGGCCCACTGTGCAGGGCCAGGGGCAGAAACTGGGCAGAGGTGGCGACGTGGCAAAAGGGAAAGGTTGCGAAGTCGGGGGGAGCTCGAGGAAGCAGGGAGCAGGAGAGTGCAGCGTTGTTCGCCGCCCCCAGGGGGGGGGGCTCGGGCGGCCAACGAAGAATGAACGCGCAGGTTCGGTGGAAGAGTGGAGGCGTCCTGGTGGAGGTCGTCCATGGCGACGTCCCTGACGTTGGCGATATCCGATGGCCGGCTGGCCTCTTCTACGTCGTCTGTGTCCGCGTGACGGGAGCGAGCTGACAGAGAAGCAGACCAGTCAGCCAGCAAGGCTGCGATGTCCGCAATCGGAGGGGATGCGTCTGTGGAGGCCACGTGTCCGAGGGCGCGGCGTAGCGAGAGGTGGTTGTAGAGTACATGGGGTCGCATCTGCACGCTCTTCATGGAAAGAGCGTGGCGTTCGAGGTTGGTGACTCGGTCGGTGTTGCCGACGTAGACCACCTGGATGTGCTCCAGTACGTTGCGGAGTCGGGCGGCGTTGAACTGGGCTTCGATGGCGGTGGGCCCGTCGTGGACGAATGCGATCATGTGGCCCTTGAGGACAGACCTAGATGCTGCGCTGGAGCGCTGTCCAGGGACATGTATTTTGGCCACGAGGCTGTAGAGGCGCACGTCTGCGAGGGCAAGGGCTTCAGCCTCGGAAGGAGTTTCGAGCCCGATTCGAGAAAGGAGCCCGAAATCCCGTCCCGAAGCCAAGGATCGCGAAGGCGGAGCGGCCGCCGGATCCGACAGCGGCCGCGCGCAACTCTCGCATAGAAACGTCTCGTGGCCACCGTCCGGCACGGTGCGCGTGAGCTCCAGGTGCAGGTGCAGCCTCGCGGAGGCGCCGATGGAGACATAGCTGCGGATGCTTTTGGTCTCGACGGTGCGCGTGGAGCCGTCAGCCTCGCAGAAAGTCACCGCAGGCATGGCGTCCAGGTCTCTGCATTCGTCAGGCTTGAGGAAGAGCCAATGGTCGGGAGGCAAGTCTTCGAGCCGAACGCGCTCCGTGGCAGGGAACGCAGGGTCGCGGTGACCGCAGGAACCGCATCCAGGGAGAGGAGCGGCATGATCCATCTTCGCGGAGTAAGCTCGGACCATTCTGCGTTGGTCATCGGCCGTAACGGTACAGAAAGTGCGAACGTCGTTGGCTATCTGGTCGAAGAGGGCGTCGTCAGAAGGTGGCGCCGTCGCGGCGTCCCGATGGCGGAGCTGTCTGGAAAGTCGTGACACCTGGTATCCAGATTCAGAATGTAGTCGTTCAATGAAGTCCAGCGGCGTGGCGTCGCCGGCAGTGGTCGCTGCAGGAGCAGCTGCTCGCCTCGTGGCGCTTCGGACAGCCTCCGGGTGGGATGCAGGGGCGCCTGCAGTAGCTGCCGCGGCTTGCGCGGCGGTGATAGCAGCTCGCCTCTTGGCGCTTCGAGCAGCCTCCGGGTGGGGGGCGGGGGCGCCTGCAGTGGCTGCCGCGGCTTGCGCGGCGGTGGCAGCAGCGCGGCGCGCCTTCTCTCGGGCTGCTTCTTTGGCGGCGTACGCAGCGTTGCGGCGCCGCCTGCGTGGGGCAACGTCTGGCTTGGATAAGAGGGCTGCAGTGGGGGCGGCAGCAGGACGACGTCGCGCCACACTGCGGGCAGGCCGCGGAGGGAGCGCGGAGCCCGCGGCCGGCCGCTTCCTCACGACGGAAGGCGGCATGGTGGAGCCAAAAAGGCTACAGAAAGAATCGCCACGGCTATGGAACCCCCCACGGCGCTCGCAGAGGTAAGGGTGCGTTGGGTCCTGTCGCATCCTGCGAAGAAAGTCGCCGGCCCCATGGGCCACGGGCGTGCTGAGATCTCCGGGAACTGCTTCCGAATATTTCTAGTTCGCGCGCGCGCGGGGGGGTCCCTGGGGGTCCCCAGACGAAAAGTACTCCGAGCCAGCCCTGGGCGAATCGGGTCAGAGATGGTGTTCCTCCTGGGCGCCGCCCTCAGGGCCACCTAAGAGCACGGTCGGTCGGAATAAGGGGACGGGGGCGCAGGGGGGGGGAGCGGGGGGGGGCAGTCGGTCGAATAAGGAGAGGGGGGGCGCAGGGGGGGAGCGGGGGGAGCGCACGGTCGGTCGGAATAAGGGGAGGGGGGCGCAGGGGGGAGCGGGGGGGGGGGGGGTGGGGGGTCGGGGGGCACGGTCGGTCGGAATTAGGGAAGAGAGGGGGGCGCAGGGGGGGGGTGGGGGGGGGGGGGGCGGGGGGGCAACGGTCGGTCGGAATAAAAGAGGGGGGGCAAGGGGAGGGGGGCTGGACCACGTCGTCGGAATAAGGGGAAGGGGGCGCAGGGGGGGAGGAGCGGAGGAAGGCCCACGGTCGGTCGGAATAAGGGAAGGGGGAAGGGGGGCAGGGGGGATGGGGGGCGAGGGGGCACGGTGGGTCGGAATGAGGGGAGGGGGGAGCAAGGGGCGCAAGGGAAGCGGGGGGGGGGGGGGGGGCCCACGGTCGTCGAATAAGGGGAAGGGGGCGAGGGGGGGGAGCGGGGGTGGGCCCATGGTCGGTCGGAATAAGGGAGGGGCGCAGGACAAGCGGGGGGGGAGGCCCACGGATCGTCGGAATAAGGCGGGAGGGGCGCAAGGGGGGAACGGGGGGGGGGCACGGTCGGTCGGAATAAAGGGAGGGGGGCGCAGGGAAGGAGCGGGGGGGGTGGCCCACGTGTCGGTCGGAATAAGGGACGGGGGCGCAGGGAGGAGCGGGGGGGGGGGCCACGGTCGGTCGGAATAAGGGGAGGGGGGCGCAGGGGGAGAGGGGGGGGGGCCCACGGTCGTCGGAATAAAGGGAGGGGGGCGCAGGGGAGGAGCGGGGGGGGTGGCCCACGGTCGGTCGGAATAAGGGGACGGGGGCGCAGGGGGGGAGCGGTGGGGGGGCCACGGTCGGTCAGAATAAGGGGAGAGGGGCGCAGAAGAGGAGCGGGGGGAGTGGCCCACGGTCGGCCGGAAGAAGGGGACGGGGGCGCAAGGGGGGAGCGGGGGGGGGCCCACGGTCGGTCGGAATAAGCGGAGGGGGGCGCAAGGGGGGAGCGGAGGGGGTGGCCCACGGTCGGTCGGAATAAGGGGAGGGGGGCGCAGGGAGGGAACGGGGGGGTGGCCCACGGTCGGTCGGAATAATGGGAAAGGGGGCGCAGGGGAGAAGCGGGGGGGGGGGCCCACGGTCGGTCGGAATAAGGGGAGGGGGGCGCAGGGGGGGAGGGGGAGGGGCCAGCACGACCACCAGCACGACCACCAGCACCTCCACCAGAACGGCCAGCAACACGACCGCGAGCACGACCACCAGCACGACCACCAACACGACCACCAGCACCTCCAGCACGGCCAGCCACCAGCACGACCACCAGCAGAACCACCAGCACGACCACCAGCACGACCACCAGCACCTCCACCAGAACGGCCACCAACACGACCGCCAGCACGACCACCAGCACAAGCACCGGCACGCCCAGCCACCAGCACGACCACCAGCACAACCACCAGCACGACCACCAGCACGATCACCAGCACGACCACCAGCACCTCCACCAGAACGGCCACCAACACGACCGCCAGCACGACCACCAGCACAAGCACCAGCACGACCACCAGCACGACCACCAGCACGACCAGCCACCAGCACCTCCAGCACGGCCAGCCACCAGCACGACCAAGCACGACCACCAACACGACCACCAGCACCTCCAGCACGGCCAGCCACCAGCACGACCACCAGCACAACCACCAGCACGACCACCAGCACGACCACCAGCACGATCACCAGCACCTCCACCAGAACGGCCACCAACACGACCGCCAGCACGATCACCAGCACAACCACCAACGCGACCAGCCACCAGCACGACCACCAGCACAACCGCCAGCACGACCACCAGCACGACCAGCCCAGCACGACCACCAGCACGACCACCAGCACGACCAGCCAGCAGCACGACCACCAGCTCGACCACCAGCACTTCCCAGCACGACCACCAGCACAAGTACCAGCACGACCACCAGCACGACTGCCAGCACCTCCACCAGAACGGCCAGCAGCACGACCACCAGCACGACCACCAGCACGTCCACCAACCACGACCACCAGCACGGCCGCCAGCACAACCACCAGCACGACCGCATTATGGGCACACGGTCGGTCGAAATAAAGCAGTGCGAGATCACACCGGTAGGTATGATGATTAAAATTTATATTTTTCTTTTGAAAATGCTGAATTTCTGCTTCTGGCGCCCGGGAGGCCTCCCGGGCCGATTCCGACGCCCGGGCCGGCGCCCGAGCCGGCGCCCGGGCCGGACGCCCGAGCCGGCGCCCGGGCTGGCGCCCGGGCCGGGTCCGGAGCCGGTTCCGGCCGGCGCCGAAAAATCGAGTTCCGAGGCGGCGCCGAAAAAAGGCCATTCCAATACACATTTTTCTTTTGAGAATTCTGAGTTTCTGCTTCTGGCGCCCGGGAACCCTCCCGGGCCGATTCCGGCGTGCTTCCGCTCGTTCCGAATCGTGCTCCCGCGCTGCAGCGCTGGCCTTATTTCCGCGCTTCCCCGCTTGTTTCGACTCCTGCTCCCGCTGCAGCGCTGGCGTCATTTCCCGTGCCATGCCACGGCATGCAATGCAATGCTACGTTGATGCTACGCTTCGCGTTGCTCTTTTACGCAATGCCACGCCGTGCTCTACAATGCATCGCGTACCCTTTCGGGATCATTGCCCTGCTCGACATCCGACTGTGCGAGTAGAGAGGGGATCTGCGCCATGGTAAGGGATGGGAGGGAGGGGTAGGATGTCAGATATGACGCGAGCGCACCTAGCTTGCCCTCCATCCCTCCCTCCCCACCTCTTCCCGCCGCCCCTCCCATTTCCACGACGCCGCCACCGCCCTCTCCCGCCTGGTGGCGTGGTCTCCGCGTGGCCCGCGATCACGGCCTGCAGCCGCCTGCAGGACGGCGCCCACTGCGGCAAGCTCGCGTCGAGACGACCCTGGCGCGGGTTTCCCGCACCGCGTGGATCGTTCAGCCTTGGACGATCGGCGGTTGTAGAGGCCTCCTAGATGGGGTCCGAGTAGAGGGGGTCGCAGGATCTCGCCGCACCTCTGACACATCGGCGATGCATCGGCAGTGCATCGGCGATGCATCGGCCATGCACTGGCGACGTCGGCAATGCCTCGGCGACATCGGCGTGAAGAAAATTGGGCCCCACATCGAGCCGCATCGCCGATGCATCGGCGATGCGGGGCGATCCTCCGACCCCATCTGCCCCGACCCCATTTAGGAGGCCTAGAGACTTCTCGATCGCCAGATCGCCTCATATTTGGCTGATTCTGGGCCACTGGCGGCGTTCAACCTGGAATGCCCGCGGCGGGGTCGCCGCCGCATCGACACGACACGAACCCACCGTGGACACAAGCACCGAACCTGGCCAGGCCCATTCCGGGCTCAGGATCGGCCTGGCCAGGGTTAAGGTGCAGAGGCATACAGTGGGGGCGTTGAACTAAGGGAACCCTAAATAAGGAACGAGGCCTCTTTTTTTCCATAAGTTAGCCTTCGATTTCCTGTCGAAAACAAAAGGAAAGCGAGAGGCAAGCTGTGAAACACTTGAGGAACGCGGAGCCCCTCCAACGAAAATGGTTCCTTCTTCAGGGCCCCGACTGTACAGTGAGGGCGTTGGATAAGAAAGTCTTGGGTAAGCAATCCAGGCCTCGGAGAAGGAATCCTTGGATATGGATACAGTGCTGGCTCTTGCAAACAAGCGCCGATCAATCAGATCGACGCCAGCCGACGCTCATCGACGCTAAAACGACGCCACACGATGCTAATAGTCGAACCTAGTGAAGGGGCCCTGGGACACACACACAAATAAATATACACAAATAAAACATATTCCCAATAGTTTCTAATATTTTCTGTGTTTTTGCAACCTCCCCACTTCCCACATGTTCTCATATTTTCTGGAGAGTCGACGATTAATTGTGTCTGTGTGTTTTTTTCCCTCCTGAGCTAGGTCGGCACTTCCTCATCGACTGCCAAACGCCAGCGCACGCGAGTGCGCTCGAAATGCGGCATTACGAGAACAGCCAAGGCCCCCACGATTGGCTGCCGAACGAGCCTGGTGCGCGCCTTGAGCCTGGCGCGCGCGGCTCTCGCGCTGGCGGCAGCGTCGCCGTCCACATGCATGGGGGCCGTGGAGGATCTGGGAGACGTGAGACTCGGGTTCGGGGGCATCGGGCTTAAAGGGCCACGATCAGGAGGAGGAGGAGGAGGAGGAGGAGGAGGAGGAGGAGGAGGAGGAGGAGGAGGTGGGGACCAGCTCTGGGGGGGGGGGGGGCGAACGATCGACTTGGAATCGGCGATGCATCGCCGATAGGTCAGCGATAGGCCTCCGATAGCGGATCCGCACGGTCCTGGGCGGGGACGGCTATCGGGCTCCCATCGGCGATGAACGGGCGATGGCGGGTCGAGGCATGCCCGCCCAGGCGTATCCCTCCCTATCGGTGCCCCCGCGGGTTGTCGGGGGGAACGAAAGGGGGGGATAGCACAGGGCAGGGTAGGGAATCAGCTCGCGCAGCTGATTTTCCCAGCGCCTCCCGGCGACAGGAGGCGCCCAAGTATCGAGGAATTGGCCTGGCGGCGGGGCCGAAACCAGCTGCGTGCAGCAGATTTCGTCCCCCCCCCCCCTTTCCCTATGCCCCCCTCTTTCGCGCGGCCCGAGGTTGGCCTGACGTGACGGTCAGGATAAGGATGAGCCCCCATCAGAGATTCCGGCGAACTCGAGCCCCAGGTCCCCCCAAGAGGAGGAAGATTTCGACGCCAGAAATGAGTACAGAAAAATGGGTACCATAGCAAATGTGGTCCAACACCGACAGCGGCCGCGGTTGGGCAGGCGAGCTCGCGCCTCAAATGAACAAGGACCGCGGCGACGCCGACAGCGAATCCTGGTCAGACTGAACAAGGAACTGATGTTGGACTTTGTGACCTTTGTTTCCGTACCCACTACCGAGGAGGAGGAGGAGGAGGAGGAGGTCGGGCTTCTACTGACCTGGGTCAATGCAAACCCGGGTCAGTCAGGCTTTGCAAGATACTGCAAGAGCCTGCAGGATCCTGCAGGATCCTGCGCGCTGACCTGGGTCAGTGCATCCCTGGCTTCTGCAGGATCCTGCGCGCTGATCCCAGTCAGTGCACCCCTGGCTCTGCAAGATCCGGCGCTCGGGCTGATCCCCCGTCTGCATTGACCCCCGCCCCCTGAGCCTTGAGCCGTAGAAGAGGAGAAGAGCAGGGAGCAGGAGGAGGAGGAGGAGCTGGAAGAGCCTGGAGGGATGAGAAGGAGCTGGAGGAGGACGGGAAGTTTTTCGCGATTTTAGGCTTTCGGGGGCCCCTACTGGGCTTCGGGAGCGTAAAAAAAACAACTCGGGATGCAAAACCGGTCCCGGGGAGGGGGGTCCAGACCTCTGGGGGTCGACGTTGTGAAAAAAAATCACGACGTCGGGGGTCTGGAAGGCATGGGCCTCCTCAGAAGGCTCGGAAGGCCCCTTATGGCCTTCCGAGAAGTTACTTAGATGAGCCTTCCCCGGAGAAACGGGGAGACTTCCCCAGAGGCGCGAGGGCCTCTGAGAGAAGCCCCGCCGCCTTCTGAGAAGGCCTCATCCTTCTCGCTGCCCCCGCCCGTTCGCCGCCGAAGTATCCAACTGGCCAACAGTTAGAGGAAAGAGAACTATGCACATACACCGATTCTGGCCAGGCCCATCCTGAGCCCAGGATCGGTGCATACGCCCTCTTACCTTGGCCAGGAAGGTATATGCACCGATCCTGGGCTCAGGATGGACGTTGTCAGGATCGGTGCATGTGCATAGTTCTCTTCGCCCGCAACAGTGTTGGGCCCAGCTCGGGGATGTGCGGACGGGGGGCGTCCATCCTCGATCGGGATGCGTTCGAGTAGCCCTCTTGGGGGTGCATCCCCGAGCTTCCCCCTGTTTCTGAGCGGCCTGTGTCGTGGTGGAAGAGTCGGGGGGGTGGAGGCGAGAGATCGCCCGCGATCTCCCGCGGTTGATCGCTCGAGCCACCGCCATGCGAGCAGCCCCTCCCAGCAGGGGACACAGAAGGACGCAATTACGTGCTAGCACTAGGCGACCCCCTGGAAAAGCACGTCCGAACCGAACATATATTGAGTAAGGCTGGGGGATCAGGTCTGCAGAACTCCCCAAACGGACGTCAAAGGGCGCAACCAAAATGTTCGGTCAAGCTGAAAATGATGCACCACACCGGGCGTCAAACCAAAACTTTTGACATAAACGAATGGTTGGATTGTGTACATCTTCATCGGCTTGACCGGCGAGGCGTTTGACCACCTTGACATCCCTTTTTTGGTGGCCCTGCAGAGGAAGCGCTCTCTGACCCTCGGCCCTACTCAAAACATATGGCGGGCTCCGGAAACCCTGAACCAGCGAGCCTCGCCATCTCTCGGGAGGCCGCTTCCTGCTTCAGCCCGCTTCCGCCAGCTTCGGCTGGCGGAGCCGCCCCCGCTTTACCTCCGCCGCCTTCCACCGAGGAAGGGATGGCACACTTTTTGTTCGATCCTCGGTGGTGAGGCCCTGTCGGGACCGCCTCGCACGGCACAAACCTCTTTTACAAGGTGCACCGTTAGGTCGGGCGTGTCCCCCTACAGGGAGATTTTTGGGCGAAAAATGAAAAATAGTCAAACATACTCCCAGATAGTCAAAACATAGTCCCCAGATTATGTGTTGACTATTTTTGAACATTCCTCCTGTAGAGGCACGGCCCCGACTTAAAGTGTGTCGTTGCCCTGGCGGCATGGCCAGCAGGCGCCATCGCTCGGACGTCCATTCCCTGTGCCTTTTTCGGCGTCCTGCGTGGCTTTTCGCCACATGAGCAAAAGGATGCTCCTCGATGGGTCCTCGCCGAAGGACAAGTGCCCACGCCCGAGCGACGCCAAGCCTTCGGAGGTGTGCCCTTGCCCTGGCGGCATGGCCAGCCAGGCGCCCGCCACGGAGCACGCCCCGCGGGAGACTTCCGGGAGCGCGCGCGTCGCCCATGGAGGGCCGGCCGCTGCACACGCCGCACAGGTCGGGGGCGCACGGAGACATGGCCAGATGCGATACGTCCGCCGTGGGGGCGCGCGTCCGACCCGAGCACAGATGACGGGGCCCCGGGACACGCACAGATATCAATACACACAAATGGCGGGATTCCCCATCTTTTCCCACATGTTCTGGGTTTCTGTCTTCCCCCCCACCTCCCAAAGTTTCCCATCTTCTCCGGAGAATCGATGATTAATTGTGTCTGTGTTTCTGTCCCTCCTGAATATAGTATACCCATATTGTAGTATATCGTTTCTCGAGCGGTGTGGCCAGAAAGCGCCCGCCACGACGCACATACTATATGATTTCTCGGTGCGCGCGTCGCCCCTGGGCGACCAGAACGGCTACACAGGCGGCAAAGGTCTCCGAGGCGTGGATGTGACCCCGAAGGCGGGTGGGGATCCCACGCGGGACTGGAAGGAAGCGAACAAGGTTGTGATCAAGATCCAGGCCAGCAAGACAGACCAGTACAATCGAGGGGAGTGGCGCAACCACTTCCAGGTCGAGGCTCCGTCAGGCGCAGAGAAGGATGAGCACATCTGTGTGGTGTAGGCGCTGGAGATCTACGAGGGATGGGCGCGAGAGCGATTTTCGGGCGCGCGGATGTCCGACCCGCTCTTCGCCTACGACGATGTGCGTCTTGTCACGAGAGCGGACGTCCAGCGCGTGGTGATGCAGTCAGCCGTGGCGGAGGGCATGGACCCGAACGACCTGGGCTCTCACAGCCTGCGGATCGGAGGAACATCAGCGCTTTACGCGGCGTTCAAGGACACGGCGCTCGTGCAGCGCTGGGGCAGGTGGAAGAGCGATGCCTTCCAGGACTACCTTTGGGAGGCGCGCGGCATGGCAGAAGGAGTGGCCAGCAGTATGGCGGCCACGGACATCACGATGGTCTAACGGCCGAGCTGCCGTAAGGGCCTGAGGCTCGTGGTGCGTGGGCAGCTTGTGGCCGTAGGCCTTAGGCTGGGAGCGCAGGGGAGCGTCGAGGCCGGCACGGCGGCGGAGGCGGCCCAGCGAGGGGGCTATCAGAGGAGGAGGCACAGAGGTAGGTCTGCGGGCGAGGCGGGACGGACACCGCTGGAGGCCTCGAGAGGGGCGGGCTACGGGACGAGTACCTCCAGAGACCCTGATGACAGCCTACCCTGAGCGCGTCAGATCTCGACCGCCCCATGGCGAAGTGCCGGGCAGTATGAGGAGTGCTGGGCCAGAGTGGGGCCAGGTCCCCCCGCCAGTGCGAGCGGGGGCCCTCGAGGTGGGCCCCGCGGCTCGAGGTGCAGTGTGCACCAGGGCACGGAGGGGACGAGGGCCGTCGCGCCTGGGAGGGCGCATCGGCCAGAGCTCGCGCCTCGGAGGACCGAGGCGCCTTGTGCCGCGAGGAAAAAGGCTCCTCATCATCGGCATCTGAGGCGAGGTAAGGAGTGCCGAGGAGGAGGAGGAGGAGGAGGAGGAGGAGGAGGAGGAGGAGGAGGAGGAGGAGGAGGAGACGTAAGGCGGCCTGAGCGGTCCAGGCCTCGCGAGGCCAGCCAAAGAGCCGCGATCCGCCCGAGGTCGAGGGGCGGAGCTGTGGAGGGGAAACGGAGGAGGAAAAGGAGGAGAAGGAGGAGGAGGAGGAAGCGGAGGAGGAGGAGGAGGAGGAGCAGGAGCAGGAGCACGAGGAGGAGGATGAGGAGGAGAAGGAGGAGGAGGAGGAGAAGGAATGAGATGAGGATGAGATGAGGATGAGGATGATGATGATGATGATGATGATGATGATGATGATGATGATGATGATGATGATGATGATGAGGAGGAGGGGAGGAGGAGGAGGAGGAGGAGGAGGAGGAGGAGGAGGAGGAGACGTAAGGCGGCCTGAGCGGTCCAGGCCTCGCGAGGCCAGCCAAAGAGCCGCGATCCGCCCGAGGTCGAGGGGCGGAGCTGTGGAGGGGAAACGGAGGAGGAAAAGGAGGAGGAGGAGGAGGAGGAGGGAGGAGGAGGAGCAGGAGCAGCAGCAGGAGCACGAGGAGGATGAGGAGGAGGAGGAGGAGGAGGAGAGGATGAGGATGGGATGAGGATGAGGATGAGGATGAGGAGGAGGAGGAGGAGGAGGAGGAGGAGGAGGAGGAGGAGGAGGAGGAGGAGGAGAGAGGAGAGAGGAAAGAGGA